TTCCATCTCATTTCCCTTTGGGGTTGCTGTAGGTGATCTGGAAGTCTGGTTTTGAGACTTATTTACATGTTTTCTCATTTCGACTGGGGGGGTGGGGAGGGGTGCTGTTGGCACCCGCAAGGATCACCTCCTCTGAGCTGGGAGAGGTGGGACAGGGGCCGGGAGCAGCGGTAGGCATAGTGGCCCAGAAGCCCCTTCCTCTGGGCTGGGAGCAGCAGGAGGGATAGTGGCAGGAAGCCCCTTCCTCTGGACCAGGAGCAGTAGGATGGCGGCTCAGATCCCCTACCTCTGGGCCGGGAGCGGTGGGACCCAGTACCATAGTCTTGTGGTCCAGTGTCCTCTGCGTCTTTGTAGTGTGGAACCAGGTGGCTGTACAGAGGTGTGGGGGAGGGGGGTCGGGCTGATTCGCCATGTTCTGTGCAACTCACGACCTCGGTAGGGTGTCTGCAGCAGAGTTAAAAGTTTTAAAAGCCTTGTCATGACTTTTTCTTTTTGTTAGATTCTCCCCTTTTGCGTTTAATTTGTCACGCCCAACGAATTCATTCTGCTGGACTTCCTGGGGTTGTGATCCTCATTGTCTTTTTCTAGGATATTGTCTAAAATTGTTTGGAGTGCTGGTTTGGTATTCATGAAATTCCTAAGGTGCTGTTTGTCATGAAAGTATCTTATTTCTCCATCAATTTTGAAAGATCGTTTTGCAGGGTACATCAATCTGGGTTGGAGGCTGTTTTCCTTTAGGGCTTGAAATACATCACTCCAAGATCTTCTTGCCTTGAGGGTTTGCATTGAGAAGTCTGCTGTGATTCTGATGGGCTTTCCTTTGTTATTTGTTTCTTTTCTCTCACTGCTTATGGAATTTTGTTCTTCTGTTGAGTTTCTGGAATCCTAACTATTATATGCCTATGTGTAGATTTTTTTTGATCAAGGCTATTTGGAGTCCTATAAGCCTCACTTATTTGTATGTCAAGTTCTTTCCCCTGCTTGAGAAGTTTTCTGCCATGACTTCTGTGAAGAGGTTTTTTATGTCATCTGCACTCTCTCCTGTTTCTTCATTGACTCCAGTCAGTCTTCTGTTATTCTTCTTTGCATTGTCCAGCAGCTGCTGGATTGATTTCTCATGGTCCCTTACAATTTTAAAGAAATTTTTCTTTTCCTGATCACTAATTGCAATCTTATCTTCTATGTCTGAAATTCTGTCCTCACATTGGCTCATTCTGCTCTGTAGACTTTCAATGGAGTTTTTAATCTCCTGGAAATCTGTTTGTATCTGTTTTATGGATTCCATTTGTTTCCTATGTTGTGATTCCATCATGTTCCTCAGCTCCTCTGTGTTTTTTATCTGTGTCCTCTCTAGATTTTATTTATTAATTTATTTATTATTTTGTTTATTTATTTTGGTACCAGGGATTGAACTCGGGTCCTTGCGCTTGTGCAGCAGGGGGGTCTCTAGATTTATTGTGTCTTGCACTATGGGCACAATCTCTGCTGTTATCTGTGAAATTATTTCTGATTTCATTTTTTCCAGATCCTCTTTTGTTGCCAGTTCAGCAAGTCCAGGTGGTTGAATATCAGAGTGTTCCATCTCGTTTCCCTTTAGGGTTGCTGTAGGTGATCTGGAAGTCTGTTTTTGAGGCTTGTTTATGTGTCTTCTCATTTCCACAGGGGGTGGTGTGTGCTGCTGGCACCTGCATGGCTTACCTCCTGTGCCCTGGCAGCAGTGGAATGGCGGCCCAGGAGCCTCCTCCTGGGTGCTGAAATTGGCTCAGCTCCTCTTCCCTGGGAGCAGTGGAATGGCAGCCCAGGAGCCTCCTCCTGGGTACTGGGATTGGCTCACTTCCTCTGCCCTGGGAACAGTGGAATGGTGGCCAGGGAGCCTGATGTCTTTATTTTTCACTGACTTCCTTGAGAGCCCAGTCCCTCTCTGACTGTATCTTAATTTCTACCTAACTTAGCTGCCTGTAATAGGGCTAGCTTGCCCCACCCCCACCCTCTCCTTTCTCCCCTTTCCAGGTTCCCCCTCTCAGTTTTATCTTCATCCCTTATTCCCAAGAGGAGGTAGGGGGACCTGTTTCCCCTAGGCAAAGTCAAACATCCTGAGGACAGGGCCAGGCTCTGTCACCTGAGGCTGGCTTCAGAAGCAAGGGGAATCTGCAGTGTGTCTAGAGAGGGCCCTTAAAGAGCACCAGCCTGCCGGAAAGGCCAAGCTGCTTGGCCTGATTGCGGGGGGGCGGGGGGGTTGCAGGGAGGGGCAGCTGGACAGGATGCAGGAGGGACACCAAGCGATTCGTCTGAGGGTGACTTCGCCTATGCCGTACCCGGTCCTGTAGTCCTTGCTGCCCTCTGGATTTGACTGACCTGGCTTGATCACCTCTGGCCCAGACCTGACTTCTACACACTGGGAAATACTGGTTCTAAAAAGCCTGTATAGGCCCGCTCATCCCAGTAGAAACCATTTATTTAGTGTCTGTCCTAATCTCCTTCCCACACCCAAAACCTTAGTGCTGGTCACTGGCTTTGTCCTGCCTGGGTGGGAAGCCACACTTGCTATGGGTTAGGTTGTTCAGAACAGAGACCTGAACTGTGCTTCCTCTGAAGTCCACAGACCTTAGGGCTGCCTCCTTGTTTATCTTTTTGTTTGTTTTGGTTACTGGGAGTGGAACTTAGGACCTTATGCTTGACAGGCAGGTGCGGTGCCGCTGAGCTAAATCCCCAGCCCAGGGATGCCTCCTTGTGCAGTAATATTCAAATCTCTGGCTGATGTGCCTTCAAGATGTTCTGCAAATTGTGGGTAGGGTTGCTGGAGGCAGATTTTGACATTTTACATTTGACTACTAGTGTTAGAGATTTTTTAAAAGCATAGCTTAAATAAAATAAGTTTATTTCTTTCTTATGTAGCAGAAATCTAAAGGTTCATAGGCCAGGAGGTTAGCAGCAGATGGTTTCCTGGGGTCAGCAGTTGGACCACTGTTCAGTTGCCCAGGTTATACACTATACAACTTCAGGGGAAACCACCTACGTGGGCTCTGAGGCAGAAAGCATAAAGCAGACATGGCAACAGTGACCAAGGTCCCTTCTCTTTGTCTCACCATCCTGTGCATGTAATTTTGTCCTCAGTGTGGCCTCCTGGTCCAAGATAGCTGCTGTGTTTCCTCTCATCATATATTCACATTCTTGGCAAGAAGAAAAAAGGGAGAAAAGGGTGACAGGGGCACATGGCAGACACCTATGACCAGAGCCACTGCCCTGAGGCTTGCCTGACCAGAAAGCTATGTGGGCCCTTGCTGGTCCAGTGGACAAGAACAGCCCATTTCTTTGTTCTCTGGGTCCAAACGAAAGCTATGAATGTAGCTTCTTTGGCTGGCTTTTTAAACCCTGGCCACCTTGACTTAGCACCACCTCTTGAAAGGGAGGGGCTTGGTTCGGGTGTCTGTGCAGAGCTCTCTGGAAGAGGTGGCAGCAGAGGAGCAGCAGGCTGCAGAAGGCTCTGTGAGTGAGCGGCTTGAGCTGTTGGGCTTCAAGTGAGCCCCTTTACTCTGAAGCATGCCAAGGTGTCTTGAAACAGGGCTAGCTGAGCAAGTGTGGAATCCACTGCCACAGAGGTGCAACTGCAGGGCCTCCTCGCCACATTGTCAACATCAGCCTCCATGTTGGTGTGGCCAAGCTGCCTGCATGGTTCTAGGTGTACCTTCAGGGACTTTCCCACTCAGAGCTGGTAACAACAGGGGGTTCATCATCCCAGGGATATCAACCTGGAGTGCTTTTCCCCCAGACTGCTCTAATGTCTGCTTAGACATTACATCCTAAAAAAAAGGACATTACTTCCTCAGAGGAGCTGTTCCAACCTTCTTCTCTAAAATAGATGTGTGTTCATGCCTCTTTACTTTCTCTATCTTACATTACATATGTGTACATGTACATGCATGTTATTAAGTGTATGTCTCCTCCATAACAGCTAAGACACACACAAAGGCAGGCTCTTTTCACATCATGTAGTGGCTATGCGATAAATATGTGTGTCATGAATGCTGGAAGTGGTAGCTTGGGTGGGAGTGAGGATGTGTGGTGGAGGAACATCAGATTCCATCTGGCAGACAAACTGGAGTGGGGAGCAGAGGTGACAATTTCAGGTTAGCACCTGGGGTGGGTGAGCTCAGAGCCCAAGGAGTCCTGAGGCACAACTGGAGAGAGATTTTAAGGCCTGTGCAAAAACAGTGAAGTGGGATTCGAGACCTGTTACACCCACAGTACCTTCCCTCTGTCCTCTTGAAGTGCCTCTTCTCTGCCTTATTTCCTTTCATGGAGTCCAGAACCCTTGTGGGTTACTGTGATCAGAAAGGCCCCACAGGAGAGGTGAGTCGTTGAGCAGCTTTGAAAGACAGAAAGTTTTGCAGTATCAAGTCTTATTGTGGCATTTTCAAACATATATACAACATATTTTGATCATACCATCTCTCTTTACCCTCCCTTATACATGTTATCCCTTATTTCTTTTGCTTAACACATTTCCATTCAGAGTCAAGAGGGTTGGGAGCACACATGGAAATACTGCATACCTGATTGCATGACAATACTTGTTATGCCCTCAATGGCATGAGTAATGCAGAGATATCTCTTGTCTGCTGTCATTCTTGCTCTAAAACTTGCCTCTATTAGCAAGTACATTTAAGCCTAAATATATTATTTCTTTTTCCCAGGATGAAGTAAATCAGATCATGGAAACCAATTTGTTGCTACGTCATGTATGTCTCTCTCTCTTTTATGTGGATGGTCAAATATACACTAAACATTGTTGGGCAGATAGAATCCACTAGTGTTACCTCCTTCCATCTCCAACTTGTGATAGATATAAAATATTACCTACCCTTCATCTCCAAAGCCTAAGGTCCAGCACTGCTGACAGCTGGCTGGATGCGAGCTTCACAGGTGCAGGAACCTGGGGACATACAGACTCCTGTCCTTTTTGTTCACTGCTCCCAAGGCTCCTGTCTTCATCTTCAGCTTATGCTCCAGAGTCTGATGCTTGCTGATTCTGTGATCCCTGCTGGCCCAGGCTCCTAGAGATCAGTAGCTGAGCTCAAGAGCATTGATGTTAGATTCCCACCACCTGGTTTATCAGTTAAACTGTTTCCTCTCTTAGAAGACCTAAGGTTTTATACAGATTTTGTAACATTCTCATTATCAAATGCATGAACTACATTTTAAATATAAGAAGTGGGTTACTACTTCAGTGTGACTTTAGTCCACGGGACGTGAAAGTTAAGCCTATGAACTTTGGGTGGATAATAATCAATAGTTAGATACTTACCTAATTAAATATTTCACAAGTTAGCTTGATTTCAACTTTTGACAGAAACCAATGTAATCTTTGTGCTGGGTGTGTTGGCTCACACCTGCAATTCCAGAACTTAGGAGGCTGAGGCAGGAGGACCACCATGAGTTTGAGGCCAGCCTGGGCTACATAGTAAGTTAAAAACCAGCCTGAACTACATAGTGAGAGCCTGTCTCAAAAAAAAAAACAAAACAAAAACAAAAACAGAACAAAAGAAACCAAAATACTCTTCAAATAAGAATTTTTTTTGTATATCCTTTTATTGGTGCATTTTAGGTGTACCATATAATGACATTCATCATTGGAGATATGCACCTTTACATACTCCCTTCGTTCTTATTTTTTTCCCCCTTCCCCTGCCCTCCCTTCAACCTCTCCATCCCTCCCTATTTACAAAGAATTTGTTTCCATTTTTTCATTTTCTCATATTAATTCCATTCCCTTCTTTCCCTTCCCCTACCCCTCCCACTTCCCCCTCTCCTTTGCCCCTTTTCTTCCTATTTTGCATTATCTATTATACCTTTTAGTCCTTATTTACACTTTCATTTTCTCACACTAGAGAAACTATTCAGTATTTACACGTGTGTCCTGTTTATTTCACTTAAGAGTATGGCCTCAATATGCATCCATTTAGCTATAAATGTCTCTAATTTCTCATTTTTGATGGCTGAGTAGTAGTCCATTTTATTAAAAAACCACATTTTCTTGATCCAGTCTCCAGTTGATGGACATTTTGGCTGTTTCCAAGTTTTAACTATTACAAACTGTGCTGCTATGAACATGGGTGCACATATATCACTGTGGTATGATTCTTTTAATTCTTTCAGGAAGATTCTCAGCAGGGGAATAGCTGGGTCAAATGGGACTTCCAGTCCTAGTTCTTTGAGGTATCTCCATACTGATTTCCACAGTGGTTGCCCCAGTCTACACTCCCACCAGCAGTGGAAGAGATTTCCTCTTTCCCCACAGCCCTGCCAGCATTTGTTATTGGTTGATTTCATGATAGCAGCCATTCTTTCTGGAGTGAGATGTAATCTCAGTGTTGTTTTCATCTGTATCTCTCAAATGACGAGTGATGTTGAACATTTTTTCATATGTTTATTTGCTATTTCTACTTCTCTTCAGATGCCCATTTTTGGATAGGATCTTTAAATATGGGGGCTCTGATTTTTTTTTAAGTTCTTTATAGATTCTTGATAGTAGACCTTTGAGGAACAGCAGATGAAGATTTTTTCTCACATTGTGGGTTGTCTCTTCACACTGCTGGTGGTTTCTCTTGCTGTGCAGAAGCTTTTTAGTAAAAAGTAAAAATCACTTGTTGATTGTTTGTCCTAGTTCACGGGCAACTGAGGTTTTGTTCATGAAGTCTTTTCCTACCCCAATATCTTGAAGAGTTCTACCTATCCTCTGTTCCAGCCAGTTCAAATAAGAATTTTTTTTTAAAAATGTTGAACCACTTGAAGTTAATATTGGAAGGAAGTTATTAAGACATTTTTTTTAAAGCAGCTTTTTATTTCTTTTAGGTCTGGAATGATTATAAATTGCACTGGGATCCAAAGGAATATGATGGCATTGAGACTCTTCACGTCCCAGCAGATAAGATTTGGAAGCCTGACATTGTTATCTATAACAAGTATGAATATCTGACAGTCAGTTTCTTTCCAGGTTGCCTGTGAGCCAGGCAGGCCCTTAGCGAAGGGTGTGCTACTAATGATGTCTCATTTCCTTTGCAGTGCTGTCGGTGACTTCCAAGTTGAAGGCAAGACAAAAGCTCTTCTTAAATATAACGGCAGCATCACCTGGACTCCCCCAAGCTATTTTTAAGAGTTCTTGTCCTATGGATATCACCTTTTTCCCTTTTGATCATTGCCAGAGTCCAGCTCCAGTGGGTTCAGGTCCTGAGAGGAGGTGTGGAGTCGGCGATGAGAGAATGAGACAGACACTGAGTGGAGGGTCGGCAGCTCAGCTTGCCTGTCAGAGTTATACCGAAATCACTTTACTTATATATGTTTTGATTACACAAGGCTTTGGTGAGCACATGGGTCCATACACAGTGTATTTTCATACAAAGTTAAAGAAAAGCTGATATCATCTAAGAAACTATTTTAGACCACCCAGTTCTAAATACTCTTCCGGGTGCTACATGAACTCTTGCTAATTTATCAGATTTGCATTTGAGGAATAGGAAACATTTTTAAAAGGTCAGGCTACTTCATTATGCCAAGTTTCATCGGATTTCATTGTTGTGTGCCCTGCGGGTGTTGGCCAAGGGTGACCGACCAGGTGCCAGACAGTGGGGCGCCTGCGTCATGAATTTGTAGATGTCCCAATCTCCCTTTGTACAGTCAGGGCATATGGGTGTCACGTCCCCACTACTCATGGAGGTATGAGTGAGGAGCTTTTCTGTAAATGGATTTACAATTTCTTCCTGTAATCCTGGCCTAATAACCATTTCTGAAGTACTGACTTTTATCCTTTCAGGGATTTCCCGGGGAGTACAGCACCGAGGTAATTACTACCACGGAAAGCGAAAGCAAAAGACGGAGTCATGGTTTCAGCCATAGTCTCGGTTTCACTGGAGCTGTGTCAAGCCCGAGATTGTGACCATGGCCTGCGCCAGATCATCAAAATTGTTTCCTGAAATTTGGTTCCTGGACATATGACAAAGCTGAAATTGACCTTCTAATCATTGGCTCTAAGGTGAATATGAATGATTTTTGGCAAAACAGTGAATGGGAAATTGTTGATGCTTCTGGCTTATAAGCATGACATCAAATATAACTGTTGTGAAGAAATATACACAGACATAACCTATTCTTTTTACATTAGGAGATTGCCCATGTTTTGCACCATTAATCTGATCATCCCCTGCCTCTTTATTTCATTTCTAAGCGTGTTGGTCTTTTACCTTCCTTCAGACTGTGGTGAAAAGGTGACACTTTGCATTTCAGTTCTACTTTCTCTTACTGTGTTTTTGCTGGTAATTACAGAAACCATCCCCTCCACATCTCTTGTAATCCCCTTGGTGGGTGAGTATCTCTTGTTCACCATGATCTTTGTCACACTGTCCATTGTGGTGACTGTGTTTGTGTTGAACATGCACTACCGCACCCTGACAACACACACCATGCCCAAGTGGGTAAAGACAATTTTCTTCCAGCTGTTCCCTCAGATCCTGATGATGAGGCAGCCTCTGGACAGGGTGAAGGAGACAGGCTCTGATAAAAACCTCAAGGGCCTTTCTAGTAGGCCTACCAAGGTCAAGTTTGTGAATCATGGAGAACCCAAACTTCTTCAGGAATGCTGTCACTGTCAGAAGTCAGGTGAATTAGAAGCCAGCAAGAGAAGATCAAGTCATCACCCTCCACAATGGGTGACCAAAAATTCAGAGCATTTTCCAGAGGTGGAAGATGTGATTGATAGCACTCAATTCGTAGCAGGAAACATGAAAAGCCACAATGAAACAAAAGAGGTAAATGCATTTCTCCTCTCACTCAGCCAGCTTGCATCCTCTACAGGTGCAGAGGAACTTTAGAGACCAGTCAGATGCTTGGAGTGAGTCTTGGAGTAAGAAGCTCAGGCTGGCTTACTAGGACCCAGCTCTGTTGCTGCAGTTACATGGACTGATCTGAGAGTTGGGGACAGTTAATCTCCATGCTCTAGATTTGGTCAAGTGAGATCTGGTTAAAATACATGTTCAGGGCAGTCTTGGTTAATGAAACCAAGATCCTTGCCCAAAAAACAGTGGCAAAGAGAAGGGTGGGAAGTGCAGAGCTGCCCCAAGGGGAGGAAGAAATGACTGTGGAGCTGCTGGCAGGCTCAGGGCAGTGGTAGAAGGTTTACACTCCTGCTGTTGGCAGCTCCAATGCCACTTATTCTACTTGGAATGGATTGAGGCACTGATTAAATGAGGCCCAGGTGCCTACTTGTCAGTAGCACACAAACGTCCCCTTCTGTGCAAAGAGAGAGCATGAGGAGGTCTTGCCAATTTTCCAAACTGTAAGGGCGACTGTCTGAGGGCATCTGAGAATTCACGCTATGTATTTGGGTTTGACATACTGTAGCTGCTGGCACTCATCTCTTAGTAAAAGTGTATTGTGAGATCTAAGCCTACCCTATAGGTATGGGGGCTAGAATCCCAGAAATTCCTGTCAGGATGCATCATGGGACAAGAAACCCAGAAAACTTCACTTCAGAGTGGCATTTTGTAAAGTCTGGGAGAGAGTTACTGTTGACTCAGTTACTGCCGTGCAGGGCTGTGAAGACAGAACCACAGAAACTTGGAGGCCAGAGACTGGAGCGATAGGGCACACACAACAGACTCTCCCACCCAGCATCACTCTGGAGTCTAGAGGGCTGCCTGTTCTGCCCAGAGGTCTTTGGTGGTGCCCTAGTTCTGCACCTCAACCCCTTGTTCTGCCTCTAATCATTCTGTAGTCTTGCTATGGGGCCTGGCTGTTCAGTGGTACAAACGGCACTAGTTGAGTGCTCTGAGCAGCTACTTCCTGGGAATGTTCCCTGCACTCAGTAAGGGTCCTCTGAATCCTAGGGAATCCTGGCTTATCCATAGCCAGTTCCATAAGGCACAAATGGAGGTGCATCCACTCCCTTCAAATGAAACTAAATTAGAGATAGTACATAGAAGACACAGGTTAATGAAAATAATACCCTTGTTCACTTCAAAAATACCAAGGAGATCTTTGAAAAGAAGCTTGTTTGTGCAATAAAGTATGTTTTCTATGGTTTTGATTTCTAAAATAGCTTTGACTTTTTGTTTGTATTTCAGGGAGAAGATGACTGGAAATATGTGGCCATGGTGGTTGATAGAATATTTCTTTGGGTATTTATAATTGTCTGTGTATTTGGAACCACAGGGCTTTTTCTACAGCCACTGCTTGGAAACACAAGAAAATCTTAATATGTTCAGAAACTTACAGACACTCTATTTGTTCTGTATTCCTTACCACAAGGAAAAGCCAAAGCCTCCATCTACTGAGCTGAAGACTAGATGGAAAAAGAGGCTTATATTGCACATTTAGGAGCCCGAGCACCTTTCTTGGAAGACCAGGAAAGGACATTAAATGTTTTGTAACACAGAAGCCCAGAGCCAGCTTCTCGTCTGTCCATATTTAGCTTCCAGGGACATGAATGGCCCATAATATGGCCAAACCATGTAGTTGACATCAACCCATAAACTGTTGAATCCCCAATTTATACTGTTGACTAGCATAACAACACATGAGACATGAGACTCTAGAACTTGGACCTTGCTGACATTTGAGCATTTGTGAACTATTGCATTTTGCTTTCTTGTGCATGTGTCTAGATGTAGCTCAAATTTGTCAGCGCTATTTGGTACATTAATTAGTTGAAAGAAGTACCAGATAATCAGAGTCTATCTAAGCATTTGTTAGCTTTCCGTTATTGTGGCAAAGTACCTAAGATAATCAACTTGAAAGGTGGAAGGGTTTACTTTGGCTCATGTTTTCAGAAGTTTCATTCCATAGTTGATTAGCCACTTTGCCTGTGGGCCTATGGTGGTACAGTACAGCATGGTGGGTGCACATGGTGGGGGAGGTCTTTTCATGGCAGCCAGGAAGAAAAAAGAGAGACAGGATGGGTGGGGTTCTCAATATCCCCTCCAAGTGCACACCCCTAATAGCCTAACTTCCTTCTATCACCCCAACTTCTTAGGGTTCTACCACCTCCCGGCAGCACTCATGCTGAGGGGCCAAGGAGTCAACACATGGGCCCCTGGGGAACATGCCAGTTGTAAACTATATAGTTCATCTGGCAGGAAACTTGGGTAGAAGCTCAGCATGGTGCTAGGCACTGCCAGGGAAATACAAATAGATTTTTTTCCCTCAAGAACTTACAGCTTTCTAGAAAAAGTCATATATTGGGGAAAAGATCTGCAGATATTGGGGAAATGTCACTAGGACAGTCAAAATAGGAGAACTTGTGTGTGGTTGGCTGGACACACCTGAAGCAACCAATGCTGTGTTTCAGTAAAAGGTGTCTTTGTTATCTTTCTCATCAATGCTTTCCATTTGTTCATTGTACTGAGACTGAAAATAAAGTTATTTCTTCTGTAAGAAATTACAATCTTGTACATTTTGGAGCAGTTCCTTTTCTGTGCGCTAGAACCTTGAGTATTCTGTTTTATTTCACTTTATTTGTTAAAAAAATATTCTTACAAGATTTTTTAAGTTGTTGTTGTTGTTGTTGTTGTTTTCCTGGTACCGGGGGCTTTGCACATGCTAGGCAAGCACTCTTCCACTGAGCTATTTCCACCCTTTCACTGAGCTACACCCCAGCCTTAAAGATGCATTTTAAATTAGAAAACAGTACATCTACTCTGACAAAAAAAATTTCATTTTTGTCTTTTCCTCTCTAGCCTTTCTCTGTATGTATATTTCTCAATAACCAGTTTCCATACTGTACTTTTACCTTTGATGCTCTTCTCTAAGATGACATCAGCAACATTGCTCCTTCTTACCCAGTCTTGAAATGTCATTGTGTTGCCACAGCATGAACTCCTTTGTATGGACACATCATACTTTTAATACCATGCTGTGATTCCTCTTTGTCTCTTCTCCATAGGAGCACAAGGCTCTCTGTGATATGCCACACAGAGGGCTGAAATTTAAATTGTTCTTTTTTGAAGTATTTTTACTGCCTCTCATATTTGTGATTATAGTACATATATTTTATTCTATTATAAAAAGATAATTACAGCAAATTCAGTTTAATAATCTTAACAGGATTTTATTTGCAATTCTAGAAATGGACAGCACCTCACTTCATAAAATACAGTGAGTGTTCTGATGAGCCAGCCATGCTGAGCAGGTTGGTTTTACAGACAGAAGAGGGCTGACAAGAGTGAAACAGGGAACGAAAAGCACTTTGGTCATTCAGAAGTTGCTTTTTGGACTGGGGATGTAGCTCAGTTGTTCTGCCGCCTGCCTCACAAGTGCAAGGTCCTGAGTTCGATCCCCAGTACTAAAAAAAAAAATTAATTAAAAAAAAATGAAGTTGCTTTTATTGGAATAGTTAAAGCAGAAGGGAATTCCTTATCATGTGGGCTAAAACTGTCCTGTTTGAGGATTTAGTTATTACCTCTTGTTTTCCTGATTTCTTAGAAGACCAGAAGAACAGTTTGGTTTCATCTGAGGAAGAGTCACTCTACTTTGCCAACAGACGTTGGGGACAACAGGAGCTCAGTCTACACCAGTGGCTTCTAATCAGTTTAATTTACCATAGGGTTGATTCTTAATACTGTTTTACTATTAAGTCAAATCAATATTTTCATTTAAAATTATTTTCATTTGGTAAAGTATAACAAAATTTACCATCTTAACCACTTTAAGTATATAGTTCAGTGGTATTAAGTATGTTCATTTTACCACCTTCCATCTCCAGAACTCTTTTTGACTTGCAAAATTGAATCTCTGCACCCATGAAACAGTAGCCCCTGACTCCCTCTTACCTCTAGTTATTAGTAATCACCATTATACTCTGTTTCTATGAATTCAGCTACTCTAGTTATATAAGTGGAATCACATGTTATCTTTTTCATGACTAGTTTATTTCACTTAACATAATGTCCTCAAGGTCCATCCATGTTCTGGTATCTGCCTGAATGTCTTTCCTCTTCAAGGCTGAATTATATGCATTACATGATAGTATTCACTATACTTTGTTCATCGTCCTCCATCAGTGGATGATTGGGCTGCCTCCACCTGTTGCTTACTCTGAATCATGCTGCCATGAACATGAGCATATAGATATCTCTTTGAGGTCCTACTTCCAGGTTTTTAGAGTATCTACCCCAAAGTGAAATTCCTGGGACACATGGTTTTCTATGTTTAATTTTTTTTGACAAACCATCTCACTCTTTTCCACAGCAACTGCACCATTTTGCATTTTACATTCCCACTAGTAGTTCAGTGCTGCAAACTTTCCACATTCTTGTCAGTACCTGTTTTTGTTGTTGTTGTTTTGTTTTGTTTTTTGGTAGCCATCCTAATGGATGTAAGGTGATATCTCGTTGTGGGTTTGATTTGCATTTTCTTAATGATCAGTGGTTCTGAGCTCCCTTTCACATGAGATCTGTGTACCTTCTTTGGAGAAGTATCTATTCACTTCCTTTGCCCATTTAAAAAACTGTTGTTTGGGAGGGAGTTGTTAAGTGACAGGAGGTCTTTAACATATTCTTTATATTAATTCTCTGTTAGATATAAATTCGAGACCTGAGAACTGCATTGTAGGAAAGTGCTGCCAGTAAGGAGCAGCAACCCCGAGCTGATTTCTTGAGTGCTCTTCAGTGTTTGAGTGTACCTCAGACATCCCGGCCCAGCCCAGGAGCTGCTCAGCAACTCTCAGAGGAGAGAGGATGCTAGCTTACAAGTAAAATAGCAACACACATTTTAAAAAAAGTGAAATACATATTTGAAAAAAGGGAATCATGGCATTTGATCAGAAGAACAAAGGAAAGTCTGGATAGAAAATTTGTAAAGGGGCATGAAGGGAGTAAAATCATTAAAGATGTCTTTAATCGATATTTTCAGCTTTTAGAATTGACATAGAATTTTCTTGATTGTGATTCTATCATCAAACTGTGTGTGTGTTCTGGAGTTTTCGGTCCATGACCTCTTCCTTGTAGGCCTCTGGTGGGAAAGAAGGGAACACATCATGGCAGTGTGCACAGAGCGAACCACTCACCCCACCACAAGGAATGACAGAGACAGTCCCTTCCAAGGGTGCAGCTTGGAAGACTGGAAGTCCTCTTGCTAGCCCTCCCTCTTAAAGGCTCCACCACCTCCCCATAGCACCAAGCTGGAAAGTAAGTCTTTGCCACATGGGCCTCTAGTGGCCCATTGTCCAAACCATATCAGTTCCTTCTATTGGACAAAGTCACAGAAGAAAGATGTCACATAAGGAAGACCAAGTTGAGATGGAGAGGAAACAAGCTGGGCAAAGCAGATAAAGGGAAGTGGGAAAGGGAAGTTAGACCGTGAGAATCATAGAGGCACCATCTGAGTGCCCGTGAGCTTCTACTTACAGTGTCCCCACCAGCCCCAACTCCCAAACCTAAATTTTCCCTTCTGTGTGTCATAAAAGAACAAGGCAATAAGAACAAGAGCACTACATCTGCTGTGTCTTGTAACTACCTTCTGGATGCTCCAACAGTGCCCAATTGCTATACATTGAAGGTTCGTGTCCTCCTTAAACTCATACATTAACACTATACCTTCCAATGTGATGGTATTAGAAGCAGGGCCTTTGGGAGGTGATTAGATCATGAGAGTGGAAACCTCAGGAAAAGAATTGGGGCCCTTCAGTATGTGAAGATTCAGGGAGAAGATATCTATCAATCAGGCTATCTATGAATCAGGAAGTGAGCCTTGGTCAGACACCAGAGCTGCTAGTAACTTGGTCTTGGACCAGAGTTGTGAGAAATAAATTTCTGTTGTTTATAAGCCTATAGTATTTTTGTTATTAGAGCCTGAATGGATTAAGAAACAATTCATTCTCAACTGGAGATTCTTTTGCTCCTATTTTATACACACGCACACACACACACGCATGCACACACATATGCACATGCACACACATACACACATGCACACACGTACACACACACACTTTCCAGTTGGTGTTTAGAAATGCCTAAAAAGGTGTTTCTGACAGTGACAATAACTAGGGGTGATGGTAAACATCCAGCAATGTGTGGGACAGACCAATGTAGAATTTCCCATGTTGAAATGAATGTAAGAACAGCCCACCCTCTCTGCAAAAAACTGGAACCCTCTTGAGGATGTTTGTCTGAGAAGAAGCCCTGTGGAGGCCCTTGCTAAGCAGGCTGGTAGAGGGCAGCCACCAAACCTTCACTGGGCATCCTTGGTAGCTGGAGCATCCGTGCTGTTGGAGCAAAGAAGGGTAGATCCTTCCCCTCTCTATTTGGTCCCTCAAAGGTAGAATTTTGCAGATGAAGAGGATCTTCATCTATAAATAGGACACAATTAGAGTGTCTTCCTCATTGGGTATTTTTAGGAGGTTGCCTCATCACAATTTTTATTTTTCTATTTCTCTTTGGATACTTCTGTCTTAAGGCCTTGCTGGGTCAATTCTTGCTGCCAAGGGCTGAGACCATCCTTGAGTGTCTGGTGGGCATGTCTAATTCCACAGCTGGCTAGCTGACTCCCCCGCAGTGGGTAACCTTGCCTGGAACTATAGCAAGCCACATCCAAGGCTAGATTGCCATCCTCAACTGTTTTTTCCAAACCTAAGATGGTGTCAATGGCCCAAAGATATAAGATCATTTTTATTTTCACTATTATTTTATTGTCATACTAAACAGAAAGTCTTAATACAAAAGAAATACATGATAGGTTAAACATAAATAATAGTGACCACAGCTGATAATTAAATGAATTAATAATACATAACAATAAATGCATCAGAGAAAATTTTGACACAATCAAAAGGTCCATCCTAACATATCATTAAAATGTTACTCTTTGGAAATTACAGTGTTCTAACACGGCTGGTTAGATGTCATCTTTAAAGGGCCAAGGCCAACATAAGAATCTTTATAACTTTGGTGTAATCTGTGGCCATCAGATAAACTAGGAAATTTACCATTGGATATAGTGAATATATTCAGGGACTAATTTTAACACTAACGGTGTGATAGCCAGATAGTATGTTTCCTCATATGGTAAATAAAAACTCCACATTATTATCTATGATGTGTTCTTGCCAAAAATATTGAACCAGAATTATAGTAACAGTTGTTACTTTCAGATTACAAGAAGTACAGAAGATAGAAGAACAAGCTAAATTACACCAGAAGCAAGCAACCAGAGAAATCTAGAAAGTAAAACATTCTTGGGGATAACAGATCTGGTCCTTTCAATAAATCAGTGCCAGGAAAGAGATTGAAATAGACTTAAGAATCCTAATTTAGGCAAGCAACTATAACATTGGGATATTTTTGAAACAGTTAAGGAAACTTGAATGTAGAATTATTGACTTTGCTGCATATAATAATATTGTTTTGAACATTGTTTCAATGTAAAAATGTTTTTTAAGTGCATACTGAAAATTAAACACATACTGAGTTACAGATGTTGGGAGGGGCTAAGCAAGAGTACAAATTTGTCCATATTTTAAACCAACAACCAAAGTTTTTGGCATCTGGTTTAATTAATCAACAAATACTGACTACTTGCTCAGCTTTATAGATATATTAAGGATCGACTAGAGAATATGCTAGCATAGTGAAGGGAACAAGGCTTATTTAGTAACACAATAGTAATTATGTTCTAAACCATACAGTACACACTGGAAAAACACAGATTTCTAGAGCCAGGCTGCTGGGAGGGAGTGGCATGTGTTCTATAAAGCTCCATGAGGGCATGGGGTGTGAGCAGAAATCTGCAAGCCGAGGACTTCAGGCAAACTCTGTGTGTCCCTGTGTGTGCACACACAGGAGTCCTGCACACTTTACAGAGTGCTGTAGCTCTTGCAACATTCACTTGTTGAGATCAGCTGGCAAACTTTAACCAGTGATATTTTTTGTATACATTTGAAATTAAAATTTGTTTTAACATTATCTTTTGCAATTATGCTCATAGAGTTATCATAATACATACATATCTATCATTTTCCATGTTGAAGCTATTATCAGGGTCTCCCACCTTAGGGGCGATGAGGTTTGCAGTGCATGCATGTATCTAAATGGTTTGATCTTGTCTGTATTTGCATCTGAAGGATAAGAGGCTTGCTGTGGAAAGTGTTTCATTCTGGTGTTTTTCAAAATTTACAACTGAACTCAGATCTAAGTCCATTTTTCTAATATTAATATTGTCTTTTACCTAGAATACCAATGAGTTTAACAATGAGTTAAATCCAGTACTGTTCTCAATAAAAGGGAAAAGAATAATTATTTACCTTTTGAATCTACAAGCCCATCAAGGATATAAGGCAGGAAACCCTTTATTTTCATCAAGGTGCACACCTGCCAATCCTGCCTAAAGTAGTGATAAAGCAGATTATATTTTCCCAAAGGAACAAAGTTGTAATTAGAAGCAATGTGGTTTAAAAATTGTGAACACTCAAGGATAAATCTCCAAAGTATAGAATTTCAGAGGAGAGAAGACCTTTAAAGGTCATGGGTCAGAGCTTGTTATTACTGACGAGGAAACTGAAATCCATTTGGGGCCAGTAACTAGTCCAGGCCACACAGCTCACATAGTTAGGTAATGCCTGGTCGGGAACCTAAGAGCCTTTGTGCCACAATTTTAATTTCACCACATTTCCTCCTTTTAAAAAAAATCCAGTAAAAGGACATGTAGTTCATCCAAGGAGCCCCAATGTTCTGTAAGGTGGGCACATAACACATACAGCTATGTAGTATAAAATTTGATATCATTTGAAAACAAGTACATTGACTATGTTAAATGTTATGCATTAAATATAGCATTCAAAAATATATAAATGTGATTTTTGGGGGGGAGACAGAATATGTTTGAGGATGATTTGAATGGCATGAATCTCTTAAAAAAAAAAAGCACTCCAGGCCATTTGAAAACAATTCCATGATTTCTGTTCACTATAGCTCTGTGTTTGTTTAAGAATAAAACAGATGGAGGCATTTTGTAGGCTTAGGAAAGGGAGCCATGAAAGACCAAGAGAGGGAGGATAATTAAGGAACAAGTTCCCAGAGGAAGGCCAAGGGTGCAAAGGAAGGAGAGATTTGGTATGAAAAGAAAGTTAGTATGAACAGGATGGGAATCTGACAAGAGGCAAAAGCATCTCGGAGAATATTGCGAATGTCCAGAAAACCAAAGAATGCCGTTAAATGGACATATCATCCTGCCAGGTCTGACAACATCCGGGCATAGCCCAAAATGACTCACGGCTGCTGGAAAGGAAAAGTAACCCAACAGCAGAAGATGAGCTGCTCCCCAACCCCAGAGAAAGGCCTAGTTGTATACAGATAGTGAAAAGAGCCTCCCTACACCACGGCTGGAGCCAGGGTTACTGCAATTAGAAACAGTTTTCATTTTCAGTTCAATAAACAACATTAAAAACCAGCAAATATTTGAGTAAAATGACCACTAAAAGCATGAAAGTCAGCAGAAGAATTAACTCCTGATGAAAAGTTGTTATGCAAATAATAAAAGGATTTAAAGTAATTATAATGAGTATTTCCCAAAATATTTCAAGGGGAATGACATCCATAAAAAAGTAAGAATTCTAGGAAATCAAATATATGTTTTATCCATGAATAGACAGACAAAACTCCCACCTGAGAGGTGGGGTGACTAGCAGGATAGAGTATCACTAAAAATCAACTTTGTTAGCTGTCAGCTCAAGCAGACAGTATGTAAAGAGTTAAAGAATTAAAAAGTGTGAGAGAAAAGTTAATTAGTTAATAAACATGGAGGACAGATCCAGCAACACCAAGACCCTTATTAGGAATTTCAAAAGGAGAAGAGAAAAAGGATGGAGACCAGGAAATATATAACAAACAAGGAAAAAAAATGTGTAGATTTGAAGACATCAGCCATAGGTGTCAAGGCAGAGGAAGAAAGAGTACCTCGTACTCAGACAGATAAAGGTAACACTCCCAAAGTCCAAAGATAAAAGCATAAGAGTTTTAGGAAGAGAAAAATAGAAACATGTAAGGATAAGAAATAAGAATTCACCTTCATCATATCTCTCATTGATAGCAATCAGCCAACTTATTATTCAAATGCGAGGGTAAAAGCAATTGCAATTTCAAAAACGTAAAAATTCAGGAAGGCTACCATAGTCAAAAGTTTTCTAAAAAAATTACTTGGGGTCAGGTGCAGTGGGATGTGCCTGTAGTCCTAGCCACTTAAGAGGCTGAGGCAGAAGGATCACTTGTACCCAGAAGTTCAAAGTCAGCCTGGGCAACAAAGCAAGGTCCCATTACACACACATACACACACACACACACACACACACACACACACTAAAAGGAATCACTTGAAGATATGTTCCTCTAAAATAATGAACAAACAAATCACAGAAAGAGAAAAACTTAAGATAGAAAATATTTGTAAAGAAAAAATAAAATTGCCTACAATGTGGTCGTGGACAAAATGTACTGTCAATAAGTAATTCTTAAAAAGGAGACACACAATATAAAAAATTAGTAACCTGAAATTAAAATTCTGATGATTTAGATAAAACACAGAAGATATAAAGAAAGGAGGGAAGTGAGTGCTAAGGGAATTGTGTAGAGAGGCATCTGCAGATGTTTCTGTTCAGCATTAATCACAAAAAGTGGGAATATGTTTATTAATAAATTAATAGAAGTGTAACCTTCAAACTGTTAAGGGAAATTAAAGAACCAACTCTATCAAGCCTGAAAAGGAGGAAAAATCCCAAAAGAACATGAAAACCATATAAAAAAACCCACAGAATTGAAGACTTGGATGAGACTAAACACACCAACAGTGACAATATATGTAAATGGGTTAAATTTTTAGATTGGGTTTTTTAAAGTTCAGTGTGCAAACTGTTTACAAGAGTTATGCCTAACACAAAATACTCCAAAAAGGGATTTGGATTTGTAACTGAGAAAAAAGAAAATTGCTTTAAACTAAAATCCAGGAAGGATTTAGTGGCAGCAGGAGCAAAATCAATCTGAGTAGACGTGTCCTCATGAGAGTTATGGGCAGGGCAGGGCAGGGCAAGGTGAAGTGCACCTCAGACAGAGAGACAGGGAGACAGAAGGCAAAACCTAGAGGACCCCGGCATGGATTCCACCAGGTGTGCTGACATCAAGAACCATTGTCAGAGAACATTCAGTACTTTGATTTTCTAGTAGAAGATGAATGGGTATTAATGAATGCACTTCTGGTAGCAGATGACTTTGTCTCTACCATGAGTTGTTTCTGAAAGGATCTTAAAGCAAGTCACCACTTGTGGCAGGTTTACTTTCACCATTAGAAAACCTTCCAAGGCTATGAACAAGCCATGGCTGCCACCTGCCTTAGAAGTCTTACCATGTTCAAGCAAGGCTGTTTTTAATGAATTCTGTGGTAGAGGGACATTAGCTGATAGTGGCATCTTGTAATCTGTGTCAAAAAAAGTGTTCTGTGCCAGGGTAATTCCCCAAACCAGCACTGAGATCTGTTCATCCATGTAGCTAAGGATGCACTACACAAGCCTAGGAGTAACTGAGACCAAACCACCAAGGCACAGATGCAGCACCAGGGCCTTTCCCACATGAATACCTTGACCTGGAGACCTCTTTGAATCCTTTTAAACCCAACTCCCTCTAATGGCAGCAGCCAATTAACTTGAGCAAGCCCAGATTTACCCAGGTTTCTCCCAGCAAGCAAGCGATGTTTAATTTCATGAAGGTGGCTGAGTGAGCTGTTGGAATGAGCTTGTGCATTTGGATTTATGCACATGCTAGTTAGTTCTAAAGGGTGATCATGTCCCTATGGAATGGCTCTGAGCCGCTCTGGAGACTCATTGCTAATGGTAACTATTCATCCACATCTTCAAGGCAGGGGTGAAAATCAGAACAGAGCCTGTGACTGATACAAGCAGAAAGAGCCACAGGAAGATTCGGTCAAGAACTTGAGCTACGAATTTCCAGTCTTGCACTACCTGTAAGAGAGGAAAAGATGCCTTTTATTTACAATGCTGTGCAACTGCTCTGGACTCATTAAGGGATTTAAAAGAAGCAATGTTCAGATCTACAGCACTCAAGTTTTCAAAATGCACCTAACTCATCACCTACAATACAGGCTCAGATTCTGTTCAATGACTTTGCTGATCACGTCCCCCCAAACAGCTTATAAACCAAGTGTATAGGAACACTCTCATCAATACTGAGGAAGTAAAATAGAATGGCAGAATTATTTATGTATTTGTAAGCATTATTGATTAAAATGAGAAAGCCCCAGTGCTGTGCAGGTTAGAGGCAGCCAATGTATTCCAACTCGTGATATTTTTCAATGCATGATGGGGCTTTTGGTGGTAATCCCATCATTAGTAGAGGCGCATCTGTACTTAGGGATTTTGTAAAAATGGAATAGAAGGGGCCTGCTATCGAGAGCATGGAAGTTTCCTTCTTCGGGAGCTGCTGGTATGGAATCAGACAGTATTCTGAGCTTACAGAGGATTAAAAATAAAACCCCAGAGAGAAGCACACAAAGGAGGTACATTAAAGTGTTCAAAAAAGCCAATTTTAAGTCATGGGACTATTGATGATTTTAATCCTCTTACCTATATTTTTATGAATTTTCCAAATTTCCTATTCAGATCATGTGTTATTTTCATAATTTAAAAAATATTAAAAATCTTTACATTGGTCTTTTTAAAGATGTAAAGACAAAGCTGAGATGCTTGTTGTATAGATGTTTTCTGTTCCTTAAAAAAAAACACTAAAGTGAATGAAGAATGTGACAGATGATTAAGAGAGGGAATACGCCTAGCGTCATCAGAGGGGAGATAAAATGCAAAAGGATATCTCCAGAGCAGTTCCTTCATATGGTTGTTTATGGGATCAGGCTATTGGCACTAATTTTCACTAACTTTAGAGTAAAATAATTGAACACGAAAGTTGGTGTAGAGATGTAACTTTTCCTAAGCATATGCCTTGCACACACTGTGCACATTTTATGTTCTGCCATTCATCTTTCACCACACTCTTCAAAGTAGGATCCCAAAAAACGGAAGGACAGGTTAAGTAACTTGTCTCAAAGCTACACAGCACAGGGGTGGAACCTGAGCCCAGGACTATTTTGACTCTGAAATCTACGCTTTTTTTTTTTTTTGAGGTGAGATCTTGAGCCTGACCTCAAGTGATTCTCCTGCCTCAGCCTCCTGAGTAATTACAGATATGAGTCATTGGCCCTGTTTCACACTTTTTTTTTTATAAATAATTTATAAGCTAAGTAACCAGATCCTCTTCCCTCAACAAAATATCAGTTATAACAGAAAATAACATTAATTTTCAAATCTGATTTTTCTGGTCTTTTGTTTCTAAATACAATGTAAGAAAATATGTATAATCCCATGAAAAATGAGAGATAAATTATTAGAGACCAACTGATAAAGTGCAATTGAAAAATCTAAAATAGGATTGAGGGGCTGGGGATTTAGCTCAGTGGTGCCGCCACCTGCCTGGCAAGCGCAAGGTACCTAATAAATAAATAAATAAAATAGAATTGAGGAATTATACAGAATAGCTCTTACTCTGCAATTGCTTCATTTTTGCTCATTATATTTTTGTGACTCTCTTCCTGAAAATTCATACTAACATCCCTATTGTACGTCAAGGGTTTTTAAAAACTGGTATGAATACAGATGATGACTGGTAATGTCACATTAAGCAATGACAGCATTTTGTTGTAAATAAATGCCAAAATATTAGTCTTTTTCACCCTCTCTGGTGCCCTTCCCATTAGCACCAGTTGCTCACCTGGCTGATAAAATGTTCTTTCTTCACATGCCTTGAGATGTACCGAATGGACTCAGCAGCCTTTTCCAATAAAGCAACCAGAACCTTTTCTCCATTGCTAGTTTCTTTCTGTTTCTTTTTATCCAGAACTTTACCTTTCCCTGTTGGCTTTCTCTTGCCTTTGTCTGGCAAAGAGTAATGATCCACTTGGTCTTTCATACAAAGTAACTGAGGAAGTTTTTGCAGAAATAGCCTCTTCACCCAGGGCGCCATAGGATGGTATGTTGAGGAAGATCTGTGGTGGACATTAATTACAAAAACCGTAATGATAATTGACAGGGTAACAAAAATCATAATGAACAACAGGTACTCTCCAATGAGAGGAATGACTTTGGAAGAAGATGGGATTATTTCTTCAATCACTAAAAGAAAAACTGTCAGAGAAACCAAAACAGATGTTGATAATGAAAGTTTTTCTCCTTCATCAGAAGGTAAATAGAAGACAAGAACTGTTAGAAAAGACAGCCCCAGGCAGGGGATTATCAGAAACAGAGTATAAAACAAAGGCAGGCGTCTCAGGACAAAAGAATAGGTAATAAACGGGTATGAATATAAACCTTCTCTTCTATTACCCTTCATCCCTTTTGCATTTAGTATTTCCCATTCTCCATTATCAAAGAAGTCTTTTCTGTCAACATTTTCATTTATTAAAATGAGGTCAACCAGGGTACCATCATAGGTCCAGGATCCAAACTTCATAGAGCAGTTCTGCTGGTCAAATGGGAAAAATGTGACATCCATGGTGCAGGAGCTTTTGTAGCTGGCAGGAGGAGTCCAGGTGACTGTTCCATTGGATTTCACTATAACCTTGGTCATGAGGGAGCCTTCGAAGCGTCCATCCGCACTGCCATGAAAGGGGTTTCACTTTAGTTGTTAGCTGAGCACTCACTAGTTTCTGGTGTTTTTCCTACCACCACACTATTTGTATTTTATAACTTTGCTCCTACAATATCAAGCAACGTTTTAAAAAGAAAAAAATTAGCTGTCTCTTAAAGTTGTATATTTCTCTTTAATTATTTTGCCAAAATTAGACTTTTCTATACCCAATATTAACTAGTATACTTTTCTTTTGTGATGCTTACTTTTCAAAGAGAACTATGTCAGGAAGCCAGAGAGATTCTGATGGGACTTTAATGGAATGAATTCCACCATATTCATCAGGATTCCAGCGTAATTTGTGGTCTGTCCATTCCTGCATTAAATGAGGACACAGTCATTTTATTCTGAAAATCAGTGTGTGACACCCTGGGCTCTTCAAGTTTCTGTTAATTAATGAATCCATTGTTTTCTTAAGAAAGAGGGCCAAGGATTTAGCTCAGTGGTTCTGCCACCTGCCTCTCAAGTGCAAGGGCCTGAGTTCGATCCCTGGTACCAAAAAAAAAGAAAGAGAAATTCACCCAGGTTAGACCTGATAACCGCCCTAGGAGTCAGGGTACCTGGCAGGTAGAACTTGAGCTTGCCTGGCCTGCCATCCTGCCCAGCACAAGGTTTGCCTGTTTGTATTTCCAAAATCACCATATGTACCACAGTGAAGAGGCTCAGCAGCAAATGCCACCAATTTTCATTCATCTTCTCTCTCTCTCCCTCCCTCCCTCCCTCCCTCTCTCTCTCTCTCTCTCTCTCTCTGTACTGGGGACTGAACTCATTCCACTCCTGGGCTACATCCCCACACCTTTTGATTTTACTACGGATTTTACTAAGTTGGCCAAGCTGACCTTGAACTTGTGAACTTTCTGCCTCAGCCACCCCGAGAAGCTGGGATTACTGTTAGACTCTATATGCTTATGTGTTTCTCTTCATAAGGAAGAAATCATTTAGCATGTTTTACAGGGGCTGACAGATTCAGATTAATAATCCTGACCAGGCACTGACCAGATTATGGGGGTTCCAAGGGTGACAGCTGGATGACCCATTTATAGCAGAAGTGGACTTTAAAGTTTGGATCCAACGTCTTATGAAATCTGACCTAAAAAAAAAACTCTTCCATTACACTGTCCCTCCTGAGGATAGAGGAGCAACCATGTGGATAATGGCAAATGACATCTTAGGCATCAGCAGGACATGCTCAGTGTGAGCTTCCTGGAGCCCAGTGATGCCAACTTTGTCATTAAAAAATCAAGAGTTAGCAGATGGATGACTTTCACAAGGTGGTAAATACTGAAATATGTATGATGCTGAAAATAATGGAAGTGAAATTCCCAGAGGAGGTATTTTCTATCTGAGACACTAGTTGTGAGACTTGATCATTGAAGAACAAATTTTAAAGAGTATGAGCTTTCAAAAAGCTATAATCTAAGGCATAAAGATGACTACTTATGGAAAATCATGCATACAAAGATTAACAAATTAAAAACCAAACTAATAAAATATTTATTGTGCATTATTAGTATTCACAAGCTTCTCTTTATTTTCTCCTCCTCTGCCCATTTTAAAGAGCAAATATAATTTTCTCCCTAGGAATAATTAGTCTCCTGCTGAGGAGACTCTTGCTGTCACCAGCAGGTCTGAATCTCAGAAATGCAAAATAAAACTCATAGTCTCATTTTTTGTTTGCTTCACTTCCACTTACAATAAAATTAACTTTTTTGTGTACAGTTTCATATGTTAATAGTTGTACCATCTCTCCCACCACTAAGATGCTTGTTTTAGACTTGTAACCCAAAAATCACTGATTTCTTTTCTGTTTCCATAATTTTGCCTTCTCCAGAGCATCCTGTAAATGCAGTCACATAGCATGGAGGCCGTGGGTCCTGTCACTCGGCAGGCACACGATGCCTTGGGCCATCAAGTCTGTCTGTTCATTGTTGCCGGGAGCCAAGATCCAAGGGCCAATGTACCACAGCTTCTTCATTCATTGGGGAAGATGTGTGAATTCTTTTGAGGTTTGGATTGTTATAAATAAAGCCACTGCAAACATTTTGCATAGTTTTTTGAGTGAAATAAATAAGTTTTTATTTCTTCTGGGTAATAGGAGTAAGACAATTGGGTAATAGAGTAGATATATATTTGACTTTACACAAAATTGCCAGTTTTCTGGAATGGCTGAATCATCCTCCGTTCCCACTGGTACCATTTGAGAGTTCCAGTTCATTTTGTGTATTCTACAGCAATTAATATTGTTCCATTTAAAATTTTACCTATACTAGAATAGATGTGACAAGGCCTCTCTTTGTAGCTTTTAACGTGCACTTTCCTGCTGACTGATAATAAGCCAGGCAAGGCAGTGCAAACCTTTAGCCAGGAGTCTGAGCCCAGCTTGTTAAATCTTTTATATATTCTTAGTTGCATTGATTTTCTTATTACTGAGTTTTTAAGACTTCTTTATACATTCTGGATGAAAGCTCTTCATCAAACATTTCATTTATAAACATTTGCTCACAGTTTGTCTTCCTTTTTATTTTTTTCACAAGACGGAAGTTCTCAAAATTTATTTAATCAATTTTATGTTTTATAGATTTTGTCATGCATAAAGAAGCTTTGCCTAACCACAGATCACAAAGATCTTCTCATGTGTTTTCTTCTAAAAATGTTGTAATTCTACAGTTCTACGTACAGGTCTAATCTGCACTCTTGATTAATTTTTTAAGGTACAAATATGTATTGCATTTTCTTTTGCATATGTATGTTCAATTTTTCCAGCTTCTTTTACTGAAAATATCACTTTCTGCATTGAATTACCTTGCATATTTTTAAAAAATCAATTCACAATATATGTGCATGGTTCTATTTGGGGGCTCTGTTCTGTTTCGTTGGTATGTATGTCTGTCTTCTTCCCAACATCACACTGTCTTGATTACCACAGCTTTAAGGTAAGTTTTGAAATCAGATAATGTAAGTCTTCAAAATGTGCCCTTTTAAAAAATGTTTTGATTCTTTTAGCTCCTTTACATATGTGCTAAAAGGTGGGAGATTTATACAAATGAGCATGCTACACTGTGTCCAAGTTGTGGTGAGGTCAGTGGAGAAAATGAACTGTGGTAACAGGAGCCGTCAGCTGACCCCTTGGGCAAGACTGTGAAGGAAATGGCATGTCAACTAATCTTCCTAGAAAAAGGAAGGAGTTGGATCAGGAATTAAGATAGACATACGCTGTGCAGCTGCCTGGGATCACTTGTGCTGCTCTCAGCTCTCCTGGGCTCCAGCATAAGGTAGTACCTGAGAGCTGCCCGGCCTCCCAGGGACACAGGTAACCACACCAGAACTGAGATGCATGGGCCCTCCGGGGCCAGGGGAAAGGGGCTGCCCACTCTCTGAATGCAGGAGGCATTCTGAGATGAGAATGGAGTCAGTCCAGAGAATACCAGACTCGAGGAGGGCACTTGAGCACTGGACTAAACTGCATGTAAGCAGCCAGGTCCCTGGCCTCTTCAGACCAGAAGCCAGTAAATTCTCTCCCTCCTGGTCAAGGCTAGTCTGGGTCAGGTCTTCCTGTCACTTAAAGCTATCCTAGGAAGAATCTCAATGGAAACCAGCACAGAGTCCAGCAGGCACAGAGCTGAGGACCAGGGACGGAGCCAGCTCAGCAGGGTGGCTGGAGCTATGCTTACCCTCTGGCCTCTTTAAAGTCACTGAGCACAGCTACTGAGCCCCACCCTGAGCTCCACGTGCTTCCTGGGACCAGTATCATTCTGCTTCTGGCACAGCAGGTCTTCACCTGCACACAGCTCTGCCCCGTAAAGGAGGGACAGAGCCTGAAACCCTCAGCTTCTTGCCTTGTTGCAGACTGCAGCAAACGCACCAGTTTTATGAATTGTTCTAAGGAAATCAGAGCAAGCCCTAGAGAGAGAATATCTAACAACAGGATTCATGGCTATAGCCAGAGATAATAAATAACACATGTAGCGGTGATGAGACTCTGGTTTTTTGAGACATTCATTCATTCATTGAACAAATATGCAAAGCCTGACCAGAACTGAGCATGGACTTCTGCCATGGACTCCTAAGCTGAGGTTGACTCAGACAACAAACCAGTGAACTGACAAATAGCACACATCTCTGGTGACTGACAGGTGCTGCAGAGGAGAGTTTGGCCATATGATACAGAACAACTGACTAAAGAGGAAGGTGATTCTTTTTTGGTGGTGGTGGTGGTACTGGGGATTGAACCCAGGATTTTCACACTGAGCTACATCCCTACCCTTTCTTTTCTTTCTTTCCCCATTGCCCCTTTGAGGTAGGGTCTCACTTAGCTCCCCAGCCTGGCCTTGAACTTCCAGTTGATTCTCCTGCCTCAGCCTCACAGGTGGGCACCACTGCACCTATTTCCAAGTCCTCTATCCTATGCCCCTAAGGTGCAGTGGGACTTTCTGTTCACTTCTCTGTTCTCTCTGAAACCCTGGCCACACCTGGAGATTAACCTTCTGTTTCTCCCTCCCTGGAGTGAGAGATTAGCAATAATATCCCATGTTTATGGAGCACGCTCCACCAAGACATTCAAAGCCCTTTACAAACATCTGCTCTACACTTGAAGATGTTCCCTGCTTGAGAGTCATGTTTTTTCAGGAAGCAGAAGGGCCAGGATATATCTGTGCTAAATATCAGAGTTAATCTATCACTAAGAAAGTGGAAAAATGCTCCAAGTCTAAGTTTCTTATTTTGGAAAAGTACAATTTCAAATCCATATCCCCTTAAAACTGTCTTTTGTTCTTACATATATTATCTGAACTATCACTCATAAATGTCAAAATTACAAGATGTTTTTACTATAAATTCCTCAATTATTCTTCCTTTAATACTAAGACCAAGTGATAATGAGCAGATTAAGTTATGCGCTGCACAACTCCATTTTGGTGGATAAAAGACAGATAAAGAATTCTGGTCCCACAGAATATAATGAGACTGAAAAATTCCTCCTGCCTGATGACATCATAGCCATGGTGACATCATAGCACAGCACATTCCTCACACATTTGTTGTGATGCTGGTGCAAACACACTGTGCTGCTAATCATATGAAACACAGCACATAAAATTCAGTGGTGTGCATGATCCATGGCAATAACAAATGGTGGTGCCACTGGGTCTGAGTGTCCCACATGGTACACTTTTATGCTATTTTAAAGTGTGTGTATATTTAGCTGTGAGCACCCTCAGGCAGGCCCTACAGGAGGGCGCTGCTGCAGCAGACTTGTGCGTACATTACCCCTGAAGCTCTCTCAAGGGACTAGAAGTGGAGGGGAAAGAGTGATGTTGATGCCCGACGTGTTAGGCCTCAGCTATAGCATGTGTTTATGTTATACTTTTTGTTTTGTTTTGTGCTGCTGAGGATGGAACCAAAGCTTCAATGCTGCTAAGCAAAGAGTCCGCCTCTGGGCTACACCCTCAGCAACAGCATCATAGTTTTAAACAAAAGAGTTTTAAAAGTAGTCATATAGGGCTGGGGATTTAGCTCAGTGGTTTCGCCACCTGCTGTGCAAGCACAAGTACCCGAGTTTGATCCTCGGTACCAAAAAAAAAAAGTAGTCATATATATTTTAATGGAAAAAACTTTGTAGAATAACTACATGAGGAAATATTTTTTGTACATTTATACAATGAATTTGTGTTTTAAGCTAACTGCTATTACACAAGAGTGAAAAAGCTGGAGATTTAGCTCAGTTGCACTGCGCCTACCTTCTAAGCACAAGGTCCTGAGTTCAATCCCCAGTACCAAAAAAAAAAAGAGTAAAAAAGCTAAAATAAATTTAAGAGTTTATTAAAAGGCTTGGTGGTGTGCACCTGTGATCCCAAAACTCAGGAGGATGAGGCAGGAGGATTGCTGTGAGTTTGAGGCTAGGCTGAATTACATAGTGAGACCCTGTCTCAAAAAGCCAAAAATAAATAAATACATAAATTTAAAAGTTTATAAAGCAAAAGGTTACAGTAAGCTAATTTATTACTGAGAAAAGAACTTTTTAAAATAAATTCAGCACAAGCCAAGCGTCCAGCATTCACAAAGTCTACAGCAGTGGACAGGGTCACCTGGGTGTGCACAGTCACTCCCACTCCCTCTCAGACTCACCCAAGCAACTTCCAGACCTGCAAGCTCAGCTACAAGGAAGTCCTGCATGGTGCAGTGTGGTTTATCTTTTCTGGTGTGTTTTTACCATACCCTGTGCAAAAACCATAGAGTTGCAGACCCCTGGAGAGGTTGGCACAGTAGCAAGCTGCACAGGTTGGAGCCCAGGACCATCAGCTCATGGGTGCTTCCCCCAGGGAGCCCTGTCAGGTAACACCATGTGACTGCCTTGCTGTCCACGATCTGGTTTGTGTCCTCTGAGATACACACCCTGGAGATCTTCGGTTAGATTAAATACGGAAGTCTTCAAGTCAAACCGATGCTGGTTCATTTCAGCTTGAGGGCAGTAATTGATACATTACATGCTTCATATTCCCATTAAACCCACGACTCGTTAAGACTGAGAAATGTGATTTGTCATTAAGGACGAAAAGCTTACGAAGCTGGCAACAGCAAGTGACATTTACTGAGCCAGTCACTTGGATGCACATGATCTCACTCAGCCTCCTGCCCGCACTGTGTGCTGAGGTTCACCTCTGCTTTGTGACAGACAGACTGGAGGTTAGAGGTGGAAGGCTTATGTATTAGGCCCTTGGGACCACACTCGACTCATAACTGCGGTCCACTCAAACAAGAAATCCAAGGAGACTGAGAAGGACGTAGAAAAATGTGTCAATAGGTTCCTGGACTTTGAAGTGCCATTCTCAGGTGTGAATGATAGGCTTTCTGGACCTTTAAGGCTAGCTTGACTCTTCCACTGGCGGTTTATTTCTTATTTCTTCTCAATAACCAGCTCCAAGGTTCTATCTAAATAGGACTTCACTGTGTTTGTTGAACTTTTTGTTGATCTAAAACAGAAATCATCTTTTGGAAAAATATTGCCAGTTTAAGATGCTGGTCTTGGCAGATCTCCTAGCAGCTATATTTCCTCAATTGTTGTGGGGACAAGAGAGCCATCTGTGTTTCAGCCACAGAATGCTGATCACTGAGTGTCCTTACTATCCCACTCCTGCTCATTTGCAACCCTGCGCTGCTCAAGGCCTGGAACAGCACCCAGCTAAGAGCAGGTACCCAGTGAATGCTTACTGAGCACAGTGGATCCATTGTCACACTGATATGAGACCATCAAAGCAAGCGGTCTTGCCCTAGTGCCACTAGAAAAAAGGTTGGTTTCATTTTCCATTTCCTTTATTAAGGTGCTTGTGATGCCGTTTTCCTAAACTTGAACATGATGAGGTAACACTGCAGGGGCTAGGGCATTAAGTCCCTTCTCATGAGTATTAGCAAGTCAGTGTTAATAATATATTTATGGTTTATAATGTTTTGATTCCTCACTGGAAGACAAGGCAAATGGGGTTGCAAAATAAAATCAATAAAATAAAAATAGCTCAATGTGGAAGTCTTTCTCTAGATGTCACTAGATTTGTGCCTTATAAAGGTCTTTGGTTGAGAGGATAGAAAAGGAATGTTTAAATTTGCCAGAGGAGAGCTGTGGAACAGAGGATTAGATAGGAGAAGTAGGTAAAACAAAAGCAAAGCCAGACAAAAAGGCCCAAGCATGCAAGTATGTCCCCTCCACAGAGCAGCAGTTTGTTCCAGAGAGGTAGAATTGTACTCCCTGTGCAGTCACAGGTCAGAGTGTTGGTCAGTGAGTGAAGGAAAATGAAGAAAAATGGGGGATTGGGATTTTCCGTCTTCATTCTGATTGCAGTACTCTGGGGTGAATGGACAGCTTGCTCAGGTGTGAGAATGTTGGAGTCATGTTAGTTATGGAGAATATGACTTGGATGGTTCACAGCTTCTATACCTTTTTGGTTTGCAGAACTTCTGTTTGTCCTGTAAGATCCAAATTAAAGATCTCCTCTTTGGAGTTTCCCTGACTTTCTCCTCGTCTTGCTGTCATTTTCTATCACTACAGGACTTCTATATACTTATTGTTTATCATGTTACAGAGATTACTTTTTACATAACTAATGCTTTGTCTCCTCTACAAAGGGACAAATGTAACTTTATCTCCCACGCCTACGACCTGGTGAAGTGCCTGGCACATAATAGGCTCTCAATGGATCCTGCTGAGTGAATAGAACATGGAATGAACACAGCTTCATTCTCTCCTGCATATCCTTCTGTTCCCGCCCCCAGAAGCCTTGAAGACCAGGCTTAGGAAAGGGACTCCCCAGGAGCAGGGCTGAGAGGAGAAAAGGTCCCCTCTGCCAGCTCCCTGCAGTCTAGGACCAAGAGACTAAATCAAACTTAGCACAGTAACCCCAGAGCAAGTCGATTCAAGCCTCCAATCCTTGGGGATAGAAGAGAAAGAGGACATGATAACAGAGGCTACTTTACAGAGGAGCTGGAAGAACTAGAAGAGCTCATTCCATGACCACTTACCAGGTGCTCAGTAAGTCTGCAGGATTATTATTAGCTGCTTTGGGGTTAAGACCTCTGAATGACTTCAATGATAGCTTTTCTTAAACTATCAATTTCATTGTTTTCTTCTCCTCCCTCTCTTCCTCACTTTCTTCCTTCCTTCCTTGTGATGCTGGAAATCAAACCCAGGGTCTCACACTTGCTGGACAAGCACTCTACCACTGAGCCTCAGCCCAGCCCTACATACTTTTCACTTTATCCTTCACCCTTTTCTATCCTTTTAGGTTCAAGAAAGTGAAAAAAAAAAGTATAAAAGAGACATCAAGGTCAAGTTCAAATGGCTGCTGGTCCTGCAGCCGTCTCCGTTTGCCATCACACCACAGAATCTCCTTCCTCTTTGGCCCCTGCAGTTTGCAGCATAGCACGGTACTCATTGGCACTTGTTGGCTAAGGTCCCTTGTTACATTTCCAGTGCCAAACTCAGTCCATGTGGGCAGATGTGCCTTTGAGCATGTTCTCTGTATTTGTGTGGGGTATGAAGAAGCTTGCTTTCTCCTACTTTGGCTGCTGCTAGAATTTAGAAACAGATCTTCATGTTACAGAAGGGGCTGGGTGTGGCAGAAAGGGCCTTTGCCAGGAGTTAGGAAACCCAGGTACCAGCCAGGGGAGTCCCAGACTTCCTGGTAAAATGCAGGCAGTGGTGGCCCCTTTTCCAGTTCAGGTGACTGATTGACAACCTTAAACAGGGACAAGCTAGGATGACCTTTGCAAATTAAACACAACTAAAGCCCGTTATTCTTATCGCTTACATTAAATGGGAACTTAAATCAGCCAAGCGTCAACTTGTTCCTCTGAAATGACTTCTCTTACTCTCTTTGGGGTGAGAGATTTCAGGATTTTAATCTTGACCTGATGAGGTTCTCCAGGCTCTTGTGATCTTGTGGCATAACTTTGCTGGGAGTCACTCTCAAAGCTATAGCTAAACCCTGAGTAGCGATGACTTCTACCCAGTTGTGTCTAAGCCTGTTCTCTCTGGCTGAAACGATTTCTTGTTTTCAAAACTGCAAGAAAAGTGAAAACCACCCACAATCTCAATATTAAAGTCCATAGTCCGTGCAGAGAGAAATTTCAAGAGAGAGCTTACCTCAATGAGCAGTTGGAAAGGAGGTCTGTGGGAAGATAGAAGGTTTGCTTTGTTTTTGTTGGTACTGGGGATCTATAGCCCCATGCTTTCTTGTTTTATTTTGTGACTAGGTTTCTCTAAGTTCCTAAATTGCCCAGGCTGGGCATGAACTTGAGATCCTCCTGCCTCAGGCTTTTAGAGTGCTGGGATTACTGGTGAGTGCCACCATGCCTGGCTCACAAAGGTTTTATTGTATTCTTGTTTTTTCTGTTTTTGTTAACTTCCTAAACCTGTTTATACTTTAAGATAAAATGCTAGGTTTTTCTCTCCCCTGTTATCTCAAATAGAGGAGTTCTTATTGTTCTTTATAAACTCAAGTAACTAAATTCCACAGTCTCTAAATTGCAAAAATCTGATATCCCGTCACTGAGGAATGAGATGGGTATATAGTGACATATTTTTATTTTAATTGTATTTTTACATATAAATTCCAAGCTCAGTATTTTTCCCTAGGTATTTTATAGTAAAATAGTATGCAGATTCATTTCACAACTTGCTAACATGCCTACCAAGAGGGAGAGAAGGTAGCAAAATGTATAATAATTTTCTAATTCTGATTCATGTTTCAGGTGGAAGAAATTTAATGACACTGAAGGAAGCTTAGGGAATGTCCTCGGTTTCTTTTATCCATTGTTTCTTCCAAACCATTAGCAGAAGCAACTGAACAATGTTTACAGAGTCTCAGTAGATAAGTAATGTATTTCAGTATAGGCAAATGAGAAGTATCACGTCTGTATAATTCTAGATGTAATTCCTCATCAGGAATATTGGAAATCTATAGACAGATCATGCAACATCTGACTGTTCCTTTAAAAAAGAATTGCTAACAAAACAAAAACAAACAAGAAGCAATTAAGCCAAACTTTTATGATCAGGCACCAGCATTTTCTCCTTTCTCAAAACACTGTAAAATTGGGTTTTGAAAGATAATTATTTACAGATAAATAATTAGCTCCTCTGAACATAATTGTCTGGCCCCAGGAAACAGATGACAGGTAAACACTCATCTCAGATGAAAGCTCAAAACTACCCAGAATGCATTTTTAGCTTTATCGGGAAAACACATATTTATTATGCTGTCCAAAGCTTAGTGGGCTTGGAAATCGGAGGGGCAGCCTCCATTATTCTCTTCTTTGGGGGTCAAGGAGCAAGAGGAGGCATTGGAAATAGATTCTTCCCTTGGAGGACCAGAGGAAATGGGTGAATGGTTGAATCTCTTCTTTCTCTCCAAGCACTCCAGGGAAGGAGGGCCAGGCCTCACTGTGCAAGTGTCATCCACCCCTGCCCAGCCCCAAGGGGCAGCTCTGCTTGCTGGAGCAGCACTGGGAGCGCGTGCTGAGGAGACCTCAGGGCTGCCTTCAGTGCTCCCAACAGCACAGAAGATAGCAGCCACTTCTCTGCCATCCCCAACAGCTCCCTGAGGGACCCAATGTGCTTTCTACAATAAATACTTCTCAAGTCAAAGCCTGTCTGCAAAGATAAGTCTTTCAGTGAGTTGTACTGGCAAATATAATTCTGGGGCTGAATTTACCTGTTTGAGCCACACGTTTGTCGTCATCAGTTGATTCTTTTCATCCTACAAAAAATGACAATTAAAAAGAATTAAAATTGAAGGAAGTTGAAGTTTTGGGTTTTTTTTTTTCTTTTTTTAAAAGAAGCTCTTTCAGTCTTACCCTGGTGTTCAAAAGTGCAAAAGATTCTTAAGAATGTTTAAATGGCATGTGATCCTAACATATTATGCATAGTTTGCTTAAAAGGAGAAATAATTATTAAAACATGTTAGCAGTTCATTGTGGCAATATTTATACAAAATTACATAACCCAGAAAACATTTTAACAGTAAAAGGTAGAAGGAAATATTATACATACATATACATATTTTTTGTTTGTTTGTTTTTACAGTACAATGGGTTGAACTCAGAGCCCAGCTACATTCCCAGCCTTTTTAATTTTTTATTTTGATACAGAATCTTGCTAAATTACTAAATTGCCCAGAGGGCTGAATTTCTGATCCTCCTGCCTCGGTTTCCTACAAAGCTGAGATTACAAGGATGTGCCACTGTGGTTTGCAATATTAGCTATATTGAAGACAAGCTTTGCATACTTTTTTAGAAGGAATTCTGGGCTATTGAGCCAGCCAGAGTGGTTGAGTGATAAGTTTGTGGCAGTGTGCGGAACTTGGGCCACGTGGGAGGATTCTTTTGGGACATTTGGGACTGGACAGCACGACAATTCTGCTGTGTTTGGAGAGTTTAAGTTCATTGGTTTTTTCCAAGAACATAATCATGGCAGAAGTTGGAGCCCAGTGGTAAAGAAGATATTGTGGTGTGTCTGAGTTCACCAAAGGTTAGGGGTAGCCGGGGGAGCAGGGACAGCTGCCCTTGCTCTGGCCCAGGTTCCCTGCAGGTGCTGGCACTAGGCCTGCCCGGGGTGCAGCAAGGGAGGAGCTAGGCAGCTAAGCAGCCCTGGGCTCTGTCCTCCTTCTCACCTACTTCCCACTCCCAGAGCCAAGGGTCTCCTAGCAGCACATCCAGCCCTTGACCCCAGAGTCCCACAGTGACAGCATTCCAGTGAACATTCACTCCGTGACAACTTCTCATTCTGTCCTCCAGTCGGCCCACCAGCTTCTTGAGGTGGATTTTCTCTTACCATAAATTACTGAAAGGCCAGACATGGAAGACAATCTTAGACTCACACACAAGCTATAAGGAATGTGTGTTGTTTTAGCTCAGTGCCAAGGATTACTCACCACATCCACGAGCTGAGATATTTTCAATCCAAAATATACTTTTATGGTGTCATTGGAGTTTAATACAGGGCGAACCCATTTCTGATAACCATGGAACAAGTGTCTGAGGAGGGCATCTTCATTTTCAGCTACTGAACTGAATTGTGCAGCAGCTGTAAGAGTCAGGAGGGAGCTAGAGTCAATGGGAGGACAGGGTGGCTGCTCAGCACCCGCAATCAGGTCAGACCCAAGCCCACTCCCAGCAGCCACTTGGCAGAGCAGCTTTGGGGCCGTCTGCTGCCTCCACGGGTCCCAGAGCTCACTCTCCCCACAGAGCCCAGGGGGATGTCACCTCCAACCTGAGGGCCATCTGCAGCCACCTGCCTGACCTTCACCTCGGTCTCATGGAGATGTCCCCTCCCAACAGGAACAGGCTGTTCCACACATTCTCCATCACACACCTGGCTTCTGTCCAGGGTATCCCATATACAATTTGTTTTGTGTGTGCTGTATACATATGAATTTTGTGTTGTCACCAATGTATGTTGTCATTGTATGTGTGTTGTATGTTTATGTATTCTCACCTACATGTGTATATGTACGTTGGCCTCTCCCTGCTCCCTTGCTTCCTTCCTTGAGACATCTCCCACCAGGAAGGTCTTCCTGATTAGCAATGGGTGCTAAACTCCTCTCAGCCCCCGAATATGAAATACCTTTAATAAATGTTATCTCCTAAGGTAAGGTAGTGGCTTTGGGAAAGAGTCTAGAGTTGTGTTTTGTGTCTCTTCAAGGCTACACAAACAAACCTAAAACAAAGAAGCCCTTTGTTGTTTTAAAATTACAGTCTTTCCCTGGATTTTCAACCCCCTATCAATAGCCAGAGCAACCCTTTCTGCACTATCTGCCCTATCCAGGAAAACCTTCCCTGCACTGGGAGACACACACGAGGGACAATGACTGCACGTGACACCTCCCAAGGTTCACCCAAGCCAACCTAGAATTACCATTTGGACAAAAGTGCACACACACACACACACACACACGAGCATGAACACATACACACAAACACGCTCACCAGAGGTTTCCATCTGCTGCATTGAGGGAGCAGGACACAGAGGTGGGGCCACGGGCTAAAGCAAATGTTGAAATGCAAATGCATGACAGGGAGAGGTGTGGCCTTGCATTGTACTCCTTTATTTAAAACGTTAGTCCTTCTCAAACTCCATTTCTTCCACTGTTCTTAGCAACCAGAGCTGTCTCCAGGGGCACCACAGCTGGGCAGCTGCCAGAGTGCTAAGCTGTAGGAGCCCCAAAATCTTACTGGAAATGGCAGGGGAGAAAGAAGTGGAAAGTTCCCAAAGCTTTCAGAGGGAAGAGATGTTCACTTGCTCAGGTGGAAATTCTTGATGTCCCTTTTGGCCCCCCTCCTACCCCACATTCAGTCTTAACACCCTTCCAAATACATCCATCTCCAGTAGTTTCCCATCATCTCCCCGCAGCTCCCTGCACAGGAACCACCACTTCTGTATTCCCGACCTGCTTCCTAATTGCTTCTGTGGTCTTTCTCTCTTTACAGAACAATTTTCACAGCAGCTAGGATCAGCTTTAATCAGAAAAGGATTACATCACTTCCCAGCTAAGCCCTCCACATGGTTTCCCATCAAACTCAGGAACAAAACACCCCCGTCCCTATCCAGCCTGCCACACCCTCCCAGGCCTGCCTTGGCCTTCTTGCCCTCTCCCACTCCGTCCTGGTCCTTGCATCTCATCTCCCAGCCCTGATTGCTCTTCACTGTGAGGAGCTTTGATCAGATGCCTCTCTTGACACAGCTCATTGGCAGCTGTTCTGTCTCAGAAGCCTTCCTGCCCTCCATTTCAAAGGCATGTCAGTCTTGCGGCACACTTCCTCCATCTGCCCCGAGCGCCCTTGCCCTCGCTATCTCTCCCCATCTCCCCCTCAGCTGAAGAATGCCTGTCACACCCCAGTGTCCCCACCTCCCAGACAGAAGCTGCATGGAACTGCTGAGCACAGGCATGGGGGGAGATCAAACCCTACAGCAGCAGCACAGTCAGCTTCCTGCCTCTGCTTTGCTGTGTGGTATTGGGGAGCTTGGGACAGGGCTGAGTGCTCATATTCAGGGAAGAGAGAATAGGGAGGAGGCAGCTGTCTCCTGGTGTTGGCAGAGCCCTCTAACTGGAGAGCAGTTGGCAAGGCACTTGTCTTAGTAAGCCTGGTGCTGCTGTAGCAGCACGACTGGACTGGCTAAGTCAGAATGAATGGAAATGACTCCTGGTCTGGAGGCTGTGAAGGCCAAGATGAAGGGACCAGAAGGTGGGGTGGGCCTTCTGGCTGGACCACTGCATGAGGGCAAGGCAAAGACAGGCAGGAGAGAGAGAGGGAGGGAGAGAGGACAAACTTGTCCTTTTATAAGGAACCCACTCCCTCATTACAAGGATTCCTTCATTCCTGAGGCCAGAGCCCTAGGATCCAAACATCTCTCATCAGGCGCCAGCCCAGCACATGACCACACGGAGGATCAAGCTCCCCACACACGAAGCTCAGGGGCACACAAACCTCAGCAGTGTGGCCACACACACTGCTAGTACCCTCTGCCCATCAGTGTTCCCCCCTTTCCTCAGAACAGATGCTACATGTAATCAGGGGAGCCACAGAGGAAAGGAAGGACCCAGCTAGAAGGCAGCATCAACGGCCAGAAAGAGAGCCTTTCCCAGACTGATCATGGACTTCCAGCCTGCAGAACAGAAAGAAACATGTTTCCAGTCCAAGCCACTCAGGTATGGCAGCCTGGGCAGATGGAGACAAATCTATTCTGAGCAAAACAGACCTGAAAAAAAAAATTTCAAAGCTTTAATGCTTCTTACCTAGTATCTTCAAATTTTCTGAACCTATCTTAAATAGAGGCAGGAGCAGACATAGGTCAGGACTACACATGTTCATGGTTTGTGCTTTTAAGATATCACATTACAAGGAAGGGCAAGGGCCTTTTCTAGATTCTTTGAAATTAGTCCTCATTACATATTTGATGATGTCTGATGAATGAGCAAATGAATAAACAGAGGGGAAAGACCATAATGCATCCTCTCTGTGACAGGGGGAAAGAAGGCTTACTGCTCCTGGGGACAGAAAATCACAGATGCACTCAGGAGTTCCAGGAAAATGGTCTTTGTTGTAAGGAATAAAAGGACTTCTGAAGAATTGTGTGTGATTCACTTTTTGTAAATTGACTTTGATTTTAAATTAATTGGACAAAACCACTGCTCTGAGGCTCATCTCAGGATCCACTGACAAATGAAGAACTCACTGCTCTCAGAGGCGAAATGATTCCTTTGGGAAGCTGAGATTTCCCAAGTTCAGTATCAGTGAAGCAGGAAAGAAAAATAAACTGATAAGAGGCTCAGACAAGTCGGAAAGGTCCTTCAAAGTCGTCTGAGCCTCTCACTTTACAGGTGGAGGCCCTGTAGTACTGAGAGGAAGTGACTTCCCAGGTTCACCCTGCTAATGAGTGCCAAGTCTTGTCTTCTGACTACTAGCTCAGTGACCTTTCTACCAGCCCAGAACTGTTTGAAGATTGAGTATAGCGAATGACTGTTACTTCTGCTGTGGTCTCTCCTCAGGTAAAAATTATTCCAACAATTCAAGTCTGTTAACACACACATTTTTGTTATTGCTGATTTCTTGCTACATTGTGTTTTTCAAAATGCTTTGCTGTAGTTTGGAATGTGAGTGTCCCCCAAAGACTCATTTGTTAAAGGTTTGGTTTCAAGGTGATGCTACTGGGAGGAAGTGGAACCTTCAAGAGGCGGGGCCTAGCAGGAGGTCTTGAGATCACTGAGAGCACCTGTGGGACCTTGGCCTGGCCTCTTCCTTTGCTACTGGTTTGTGATGAAACTGGCTTTGCTCTGCCAGGCACTCCTGCCATGATGCTTTGCCTCACAGTGGGCCTCACAGCAATAGAGCCAATTAATCATGGACTGGCAGCTCCACAACTGTGACCCTAAATAAACCTTCTCTCTTTACTTCAGTAATCTCAGGTATTTTGTTATAAATGCATTATTTTTAAAGCAATATACTACTGAGAAGACTTCTAAAACCAAGTCACAGTCACATTTGTTTGATCTTAGAAAGACACTCAGTGGTACTGATGCTGGTTTTTACCTACTCAGCTCTGCCTTTGCTGCAGGTGATATCTGGTGTCCAGGGCTCTGCTTGGGATCCCTTATTGGGGCACCATTCTGGGGTCACTTTTGGGGCAGGGAATTCCTGCCCTCAGGTTAAATGTGGTCTCTGCAATGAGGGCACATTTCTGCCTCAAGTTAAATGTGGTCTCCCCACACTCTTGTTTTGAGTCCTACTCTGCATGACACCTTCCAAAAACACACTTAGTCCAATGTGACATCTTCCGAGGGTGTTTACTGCCTAACAGAGCTCTTCACCATCTCTGGCAAAGCAAGAATTTTGTTTCCCACCTCAATCCCTGTTCTTCCCTTTCTTTTTCTCTTCCTCTTCTCCTTGCTTAATCTTTGTTTATTTTTCTTGGTCAAAATATTTCCTTTGGGCCCAGACGGTCAACTCCGTGGGTAGAAAGCAAGAAGAGAGAGGACTGGAGAGGGCCAGAGACCACTGTGAGCAACTGGGAGACAGGGTTGGGGATGTGCTTCTCAGCCCTGGCTGTTTATTTCCTGCCCACGGAGCTTGGGTTGGGACTGTGCTCCAGGAAAGCATGCTGCTCTTGGTCCAGATCAGAAGGCAAAATTCCTTGCCAAACTCACCACTCTTTACAATGGGAATCCAACAAATACTTATTTAACTTTTGAAGCACTAGACTTAGAGTTAAAGAAATGAGTTCTGTTCCTAATTCCAAATTTCATGACCTTTAAGCAAGGCATTTGACCTTTCCCAATAAAAATGGGGTGGGATGATTGCTAGGACCTCCAGCAGCTCACTTGTCCTGTGCTTAAGGTCTTGGAGTCCATGCCACAGCTACAACGTATGGCCATGAATGCCTGATATTCAAAGATACAAAAGACAGCCTAAGTCCAAGATGTGCCATTCATGGGAGTACTCTCCATGCAGGGCTGCTATTCAATGAGCAGAGGTGAAGGTAGCTGCCATGATCAGGGGGTTAGAGGATCCACTCCTGTGGGGAGAGTAACAGTACTCTTCATCCCAGTGAGCGCAATTGGGAGGGGTTTAGATGAGGTGCTAATTCCAGCTCAACAAGGAAGTCTTCCTTTGGAACCTAGGACTTGACCTTCTGGTCTCTATTCTTGATCAGTTTGCCTTTTGTCAGGTTCAGAACCCACTGCTCTCTTCTCACCCCCAAACCCCCCATCTACTTTTAAGCAAATTCGGATAAAATCACACCTAGGTGTCAATAACTGATAAGACAATAGGTGAAACTTCCCATGAGTATGAACAGTTTTATTGAAGATAACATCATTGTTTATCTTCAGCTAGGAGAGAACAGAAATGATTGAAGAATTTCAAACCTCAGCAAATATGATTGGGAGATAATTTTTTTGTTTTGATACTTCTTAGTATATTTTGGTTCTGCTTTCCATTAAAAAGAAATCATACCACAAACATGGTGGCTTCTTCTATCAACACATTCAGCTAACCCTCAAGGTAAAATCAAATAGTACTTGTTTAATGAATTCTCACTAGCATGAGAGTGCATTAGAATGATTTTGTTTTATTCTCTCTTACATTCACACATCCTAGAAGTATTCTTAGTATACAATAGATGCTCAACAGATTTTTACTGAATGAACAAGCAGATGTTATCGTGAATAAGATACAGTCTCTACTTTCTGGGAACAGACATAAGCAATCAACATGTGAATCAGCAAGACCAGAGATGTCACATAGTCACACACAATTATTCTTTTTTTTACTACAGCCTGAAATATAAAAATAAAAGGGTTGTCCCTTGTAATATGAAAAAGTAATTTTGTGTAATTAAAAGATCTTTGCAATGAGTAGTAAGATTAAATCACTTAGGAAATGTGTACACCTCCAGTAGGTCTAGACATATTCACATAGGCAAGATTTACTACAGCTTATTAAATCTATGACAGATCTACAAGAGACACATATGCCTCAGAAGCTGTCCCCAAACAGTGGGGAACAATTACCAGGCTCTCCTCCAGGCCAGTTTCCTTATTCTCATCACTGTGTATAGGGGAGATGCATGTTTAACCCTAAAATATTTATGCTGATTATCTTTGCTTACCAGAGAGGGAATTTCCTGGGGAAAGCACCAATTCTTTCACAATAAAATGAATACCTTGATAAATGAAGGCAGAGAAACATCAGACATTAATAGTATGCTAAAACATACAAATGTTGATTCTTATTTTTCTGGTTGACAGACTATATTTAAGACTTTGCAAAGAACACAACTAGTAATATTTGGAGATGGGTTTGATGCCTTCTGTACTTAGAAACGACTTTGTTTTGTGGAGTCTCTGCTGTGAAGAAAGGTTGTATTTGCTGGGGATTAGCTCAGTGGCACTGTGCCTGCCTTATACATGCAAGGTCCTGAGTTTGATCTCTGGTAACCTCCCCCCAAAAAAAGAAAGAAAGAGAAAGAAAGAAAGAAAGAAAGAAAAGAAAAAAGAAAAGAAAAGAAAGAAAGAAAGAAAGGTTGTTTTTGAAGCTAGGGTAATGTTCAAAAAAGCCTCATGGTCCACGATTTATTTCTGGATGTGGGCAAATCTATGTCAGTGCTTCTACCTCTCCATTTGAAATTTGTAATAACCAGATGTGCTAAAAACACTACTGAGAAATAAAAACAATTTGCTTATAGAACAACCTCCTTATCATCTAGATACTGGCTTTAGATGGTTTCTGGTTGCATGAGAAGAGTTTTTCTGTTCTTAAGTTAGATAAGAAGTAAAAGGATCCCAAACCCCCAGAAACTGGCAGGTAGAAGTGTGTCCTAACCTTTTTAGTAG